TCTCCTTAAAATCAACCACTTCATACCATCCTCCCCCTTTCTTTCTCATCATCAGTAATCCTCTCCTTCTCCTGAATGGCTCTTGTAGGTCATGATGATTTACCTTCATTAGTATTTAATCTCTTTGGGGGCAGGGAACATGTTTCTTTCTATCTGGTAGAAAGTGTCATAGCAATGTATGGCTCTAGATTAATAATGATGATGATGATATCTGTTCTTTATAAGTGGGTCATGCCTAATCCATTGAAACATACTGGCATGTACCAGCATGTAGAAAGAATCTGAAGAGTGAAGGCACTGAAGACATCTATGTTCCATGGCCTTTAGAAAACTGTTGGAGCTGCAGCAGAAAACTAGTAAGGCTACTTATAACATGGAATCGGAAATTAATCTCCTAAACTAGGAAGGCTTGGGAGAGGCAATGTGAGGGGTATGCCATGACTGAGAAGAGTAAGGATCTACTCATCCAGGAGTTGATTCCAGAGTTGTATTTCACTTGCTATAGCTGATGGCATCACTAACAAATCACATAGAACAGGGAGCTGCTTAAACACTATATCCTGAACTGAAGTTTTGGAAGGTCAGTAGAAAGGAAACATCAAATATCTTTTTTTAAAATGTATTCATTTGTAGTTTGGAAGTCTAGTCATTTTTCCTGATATTAATTTTGGCTCTTGAACAGCTTTTTGTATTCATTTATTTAGAAAGCATCTGAATTTACCCCTTAAGCCATCGAGATCCTGTGTTCATGCATATAAAGAACGAAGGAAAAGTGTAAATAGATCTGACCCAAGATGGGATGGCCTTCAGAATTTCCCATGAGATATCTGTCAATCTGTTGAATGCAAAACAATTTCCTACAGTGGAAAGGGTCAGCTGTGTAATTAGTGACAGTGTCTTTTAGCAACATGTTGGAAAGATCTGAGAGAGAGAGAGAACTCTCAGTAACTTTCTGTCACTAACATCCCTAAGGATCATGTGATTCCCCAGCCACATTAGAAAAAAAGCATGACTGTTACTATCAGTATAGGACAAAACTCTCTGGGAAATAGGGTGCTGCAATGGCAATTCAAAACCTCAGAACTTTAGTCACTATTTTTGTGTTTTAGCACAGACCAAGTCACTCTAAAATCATATGGAAAAAATTAATCTAGTAGGTGTGCTGAGTCAGGAGATGTGTATTGCTAAATAGTTGGATGACTCCTCTGTAGTGAGGGGAAATGAATTAATTCTTACTGGATTTTCCTGAAAATGTGCCTTCATGGAAAGCATGCTCTGAATTGAGGAACTTATTTGATTTCAGAGGGGCTTGTCTGCACTACCTGCCGGATTGGCAGGCAGTGATCGATCCAGTGGGGGTCAATTTATCGCGTCTAATATAGACACAATAAATTGACTGCTGAGCGCTCTCCCGTTGACTCTGGTACTCCACCAGAACAAGGAGCGCAAGCAGAGTTGATGGGGGAGCGTCAGCGGTGAAGACACCGCGGTAAGTAGATCTAAGTATATCAACTTCAGCTACGCTATTCACGTAGCTGAAGTTGCGTATCTCAGATCGACCCCGCGTGGTAGTGTAGATTCCTTCATCAACTGCATTGGGACCAGAAGAGTTGACTTAAGACTGAACATACCTTTTAATTGTTTTCAAGTAAGGCTTCCATGATGGTAAGTCCAAAACAAAGTGGCTGAACTTTGGTGTCGGAAACCATGGCTTCATCTTCACATGAAATCATACTTTTATTAAGTTTTCTTTTAGCACCTGTCTATCTTACAGGGCAGAGCTCTCATTCTAATATAACATACAGAAATCAAGGGACTAGTTATAGGGCACTATGCAGCCTAAAGGGAAGAAAAGCCCCTATTTTGCTTCATGGTATCCTTGTCAAAGCAACAACACATAGAGAAAACAAAATCTTCCTGTCATTAAGTTTTACAGCAAGTCACAATTTGGTGTAGAGCCCAGGGAGTTGTTCTGTTTGAATTTCATAGGCCACTATACATTGTGACATGAATTTTTCTGTACAGTTCAATATTTTGATGGGACTGCATGGGTGCCCTCTGGTGGTTAATTTGTCACCCAAACAGTCGGTTTGTTGTTTTGGAGACCAAACACTGTGCATGCAGATTTCTGCTCTCAGCTTCCTAATGTAAATCCAGTGTAACTGTTGATTTGAATAGAATTACTCTGGATTTTCCCTGCTGCAACTAAGAACAGGATTTGGCCCTCAAATAACTCACCCATTCCTAACTTTTCTGTTGCTGTGGATCTCACTTTCCTTTATATTGCAATTATTCTTTTCCGCACCTTGGTATTCTGTACTGATTGATCAAAGACTTTGATTAGTAATATTATTTCATCAGTACACCAAGATCTCTCTCAAACAATTCTTGTAAATTACACATCAGCAGTAGTTTTTGTGAAATAGAGCTTACTTTTGTTTAGAAAAGTCCTTTCAGACTCATCATGTAGTTAACCTAATGGAGAAACAATTGTCCTCTCATCAATGCATACAGCCAACTGTATCAGGAGTGATGCTGACAAGCGACACTAAACATTCCCTTTATCTTGCATGTATCAAAGAGCCCTCTGGTGCTGCTGTCTATCCAGGTATGTATACAGCTCCCCTCACCTTCGAATGTGACAGCCATATGGGACAGAGGTAGGACTGGGTAATTTTCCTCTTTTCATTCTAAACTAATTTTCCAACATGTTCTGTGTCTAGGGAGCTAAAGACAGTCAGATAACGTTGTCAGGCCACCTATAACACAGATCATGCATAGGACAACTATGGCTGTACTTCCTCCTTTTCTTCTCTCATCTAAAAACTACTGATTTCTAAGAGCTGTGGACCGAGCACCCAAATGAGTTGTGCTCTGCTGGCTTTCACCCCTCCTGGTTTTCACTCTGCTCTCTTTTGCTTCTTACATCATATCCACTATCAGTATGTTTCTCTACCTGCTGGCATTTTTGGTTACTTTGCTGGTAGACAATGATAACAGGAAACAACTACCTCAACTGAGAAGTGACCAGAAGGGATAAATACACGGAGTTCAAACACTTTTTAAAAACAAAATACCACATCAAAAAATAAATGAGTGAAGTTGTCATCTCAGGAAAATGCACAGTTTAAAACTACCTTCGAAGTTGTGTTATTTTTGTCTTGCTGCGTATTTTAGTGGGACAAAATAAGCTGCTGAGTAAAACCGCCACTGGGACTTGCTCCCTAATCCAACAGGGAGAGAGGTGGATTCCTTCCCATAGGCATATTTGGTTCTATAGTAAAATGAAACCCAACCTCTCTCTTTCTCTTCAGGTTTTTATACTACATCCTCAGCATGATATCTGAGCACCTGCTGTTACAGGTGAACATCTCTCTATTGCCCTAAAGAGGAGATTACCGAGTGACTTAAATGCACCTACACCCTTAAGTTAGAGACACATGTAATAGTAATAGACTGGCATTGGGCCTTTTGACCACTATACATATTTGAAGCTAATGATTTTGAATCACTCTTAAGCAGTTTTTGTAGCCACCCTGTAGTTAGTTTGTTTTTATGTCAGTAAACAACAGGGAGGCAGGTGGAATGGAGACTGAGATACTAATGCTGCAGATTTGCTGGAAGCTTAGAGATTTCCTTGTGAAGATGATTTTTAAATGACCATATTCAGCAAAGTTTTCTGCCCTGTCTCACGGAGTCAGCCTGCTATCCAAGTGTGCAGAAGAAGGGAGAGCAGTCAGAAACTGATAAAAATAGCACTAAATCCCTGTCTTGACTCAATGACAAGAGAATAATAAAAAGATTATAGGTAATTTCTCTTTATGAATTATAGAGAAGGGCTTAGATTCAGCAGTGACACACAAGAGCCTGGACAGATTGCTCAGCTGCCTCTCCCAGTAATGTCACTATCATTCAAAGGGAAACAAATGACCTCCAGGATAAACTGAGTATAGCACAGCAGGGCTGTGAAGCTGTTAAACACAGGGGCAGTTTCCTAAATACCCAGACAGTTTCTATTCTATGAGAGCAAACAGTCTGTGTCATTCTGAATGTGAACAATAAGAATACATTTACTTGTAACTTCTGTTTAAAGATAAGAGTGTGATAATAGATTTCAGACTTTGCTTTACTGCTGTCATATTTTCTTTCTGACTATACCTCAATGGGGAGAATACAGCAAATCCGTAGGGCAAGGAACTGAAATATGAAGCTGAGCTTTGTCAGATGTTCTGCTGTGAGGGTTCTTCTGTGTGCTACAAAACTATATTTCCATTATTTCTCCCATTATATAATTGGCTTCTTCAAAAGGAGAAAAACAAAGTCCATCTCCTCAAGATGGAAGTGTATAATAAACACATCTCAGCCCTGGACTATGTTTATGACTGGCCTTCTATTTATCCAATCACATTCCAAACTGCTCCAGAGCTAAACAACCTATAAAGGATAAAGGGAGGACTGACACTCCAGGAACATTTATCCTGTCTGGAAATTGCGTGAGTGGTGCCCTTGTTGAAGCACAATCTGAGGTTCATCAAAAGATTTTGCCATCCTCCCACCATGCTGCTTCTTAGTGAGTTCCTGAGTCAGGTCTGATGGTATCTAGGGGTTAGGATTCGGCGCTCTCGCCGCCGCAGCCCAAGTTCGTTTCCCAGTCAGGGAACATGATTGTGGGGGGATAGCTCAGTGGTTTGAACATTGGCCTGCTAAACCCAGGGTTGTGAGTTCAATCCTTTAGGGGGCCATTTAGGGATCTGGGGCAAAAACTGGGCATTGGTCCTGCTTTGAGCAGGGGGTTGGACTAGTCCCTTCCAACCCTGATATTCTATGATTCTGTCTGGCACGTGACATGGACGAGAGAGCAAAGATGGAGCATAAAGCATTTTCAATGTAGAACCAGCTTGACAGTGGGCAAAGTATTTATTATACTTCAGGGAACCCCAGTCTAAAAATCTGCAAGGGTACAAAAAGGCTCCAGGTACAACAGGGCTAACTGCACTTACCTCCAAGAAGAAGAATGAAAGGAGAGCAGTTAAGTCATGGTAAATACTAGATTTCTCAAGGCAGAACACAACTGCATGCTTCTGTGTCCCCAGTCAGCAATCGTCTGGAGTTAATATATTGAGACTCAGTATGTATATAAAATCTTGCACTTTTCATTTTGCAGATGCTTTACAGACATTTGCTAATTACACCTCACAATATCACTGTGAGCTGGATAAGTATCATTATCCCCATTCTGCACTTAGAGAAGTGAAGTAACTTGCTAAAGGTCAGAGGAGTCAGTGTCAAAGGCAAGGTTAGAACTTGGAACTAGATTTTTGGTGTGCTACTAACTAGGATATGTCTCTAATAAAAAGCTAGCATCGGTTTTAAAAACATGGATCCTGGTTCAAAGTCTACATCTAATTGCTTACATACACCGAAATTATCCTGTCCCAGCATGAAGTGTGTGAATATTTGAGTTCTTGTCCTTACTTTGGTTGTTCCAAAATCCTATAAGGGACTATAATCTACCTTGGACATCACATAAACCAAAAGACTTGAGATCTGCTTCAAGGAGGGCAAAGATGACTTTCCACACTTTCTCTTAAGAAGGACTGAAGTGAAAAGAAATTGATTTCTCCAACCTGCAAGGAAGTGGCTAGAGTTTTCCAGCAGGTGTAGTACAGAAGTGGGGAACAGCAATGGATGTTTGCTGAAGGTTTCTGAGAAACAACATTATAGCAAAATTAGAGACGGTTGGAGAAGTATTAACCAGGTGACTACATCGCTCCAAACTTCTTAACCAGCTTTTCCAGACTCCCTTTTGCAATTGTGTAATTTCCCAGACATGTACATATTTTACATTATATAACAGATGCATTTTAATAATGTTACAAAGGAAGGGCACCCAATTTAAATTAATTAGATTTTGCAATAGAAGTGTGAGGCGTACATATACATGACAATTACCCTTCCAAATACAGGACTGTAGGTATGTAACCCTACCTGAAGCAATTAAATGAGGAAACAAAAAGCGGATGGTGCCTCATCCTCTAGGAAAAGGTGTTTATGAAATACCACGGCCGTACTGAAAACTCCGATGGGAAGGACCTTCTGCCACCTGTGGAGGAGAAACCCAGCAAAAGTCCTCAGGCTTGGAGGAAGGAGCCGGGCACCCGCAGCAAGGCAGAGCCCAGTAACTCGACCCGGGGATGAATGACCAGGCTCGGCCTGGTGGGGGTCACGGATTCTCCATTTACCTCTCGGGGGAGCAGGGACACAGTCGCTTTTCCTTCCCTCGGGGGCTGCGCCCTGCGGAGAGACAGGATGAAAGCAGGGCCGGGGGGGGGAGGACGGGGTCCCGGGAGGGGCAGAAGAGTCCAGGGGGTGGGGTCCGGGAGACCCAAAGAGGCAGGGCCCGGGGAGGGGGGGGAAGGGCGGAGACCCTGGGGGGCCAGAGGGGTCCCACAGGAGGGGTCCCGGGGGGGAGCAGAGGGGTCCAGTGGGCAGGGTCCGGGGTGGGGCCAGGGCGGGCCTGCTTGGCTGGGGGAGGGGCGGAGTCCCTGGGGGGCCAGAGGGGTCCCACAGGCGGGGTCCCGGGGGGGGCCAGAAGGGTCCAGGGGCGGGGTCCAGGAGGCCCAAAGAGGCGGGGCCCGGGGGGGGAGAAGGGTCCAGGGGGCGGGGTCCCGGGGGGCGGGGGGGAGGACCAAAGGGGCAGGGTGGGGTCCCCAGGGGGGCAGAGGGGTCCAGTGGGCAGGGTCCGGGGAGGGACCAGGGCGGGCCCCCAGGGGGCGGAGTCCCTGGGGGGCCAGAGGGGTCCCACGGGCGGGGTCCCGGGGGGGGCAGAGGGGTCCAGGGGGCGGGGTCCGGGAGGCCCAAAGACGCAGGGCCCGGGGGGGGGGGGCAGAGGGGTCCCGGGGGGGGCAGAGGGGTCCAGGGGGCGGGGTCCCGGGGGGGCGGACCAAAGGGGCGGGGTCCGGGGGGGGCAGTCCCTGGGGCACGGACCTCACGGGCGGGGTCACGGGGCTCAGGCGATGCGGCCCCGCCCCCTTCCCAGCCTCTTCCCGCCCAACTCCAGAGTTGCGAGCGGACGGAACGCAGCGCATGCGCACTAGAGGAGAGCCCATTCGCTCCTTTCACCCGCGCGCCGTCTTCTTGACATCTGCCCCACGTGATCTCTGCCGCCCGCCGGCCGCTGTGCTCCCCGCCGCGCATGTGCCTGTGCGCCGACTCCGCGCCCGCTCGGTGCGCGATACGCGTGCGCACTGCCTCCCGATGCCCCTCCGCTCCGCCGGGGGCGCTGTGGCGGTGGCGCGACCTCCTCTGCCGGCTCTCTTCCGCCCCTAGTCCCGCCCCGGCGCGGGGTGAGAGGTCGGCAAGATGGCGGCGGCCTTGGGGGAGGAGGTGCCGGAGAACGAGGACTATTACTCGCTGCTGAACGTGCGGCGGGAGGTGAGGGCGGCGGGCCGCGCGGGCCGGGGCGCAGCGGCACTGGTGGGGGGCGCCGGGCCGAGGGAGAGGCCTGGGGCCGGGACTATGACCCCGGTGCCCGGGCGGCCCCCCCTCTCCGGCGGCTCGTGCGGGCCCGCCAGCGGAGGCCGTGCCTGCCCCGGCCCCAGGCCCCCGCCCCAGGCTCCCGCCGGGGCGTCTGCTGGCGCGGGCGAGGGGAGGACGCGCGGGGGCGGGACCCGAGAGCCGCCCTTCTCTGGCGCTCGCTCCGGGGCAGGCCGGGGCCTGGAGCGAGCGCCCGGGCTCCGCCCCGCTCCCCGCGAGGGCCAGCCGTTCCAAGGCGGGGCGGGCCCGGCGAGCCCGGCCAGTGCTAGGGCGGGCAGCGGCCTCAGACCCGCAGTGCTGAGTGCGGCGTGGTCCGGGTCGGAGGCTCCCCCGGCCCCGGGGAAGCTGTTCCGGGGTTAGCGCGCCTCCCTGGCCTCTCCAGTCCGAGTTTGTCCCGGGCATGGCTCCCCGCGCTCAGAGCCTGTCTACACTGGCGCTGTAAAGCGACTTTCTGCACTCAGGGCGGTGGTTTTCCACACCCCTGCGCCAGCAGGTGAGAGCGCTATAAAATGTAAGTGTAGCCAAGCCCTAGCTTCAGCTTTCAGCCGTTGGTCCCCTTGTACCTTTCTCCGCTAGACTGAAGAGCTCCTTATTAAATATTTGTTCCCCCGTGGTGATTTACAGATTAATCAAATCACCCCTTAACCTTCTCTTTGTCAAGCTAAATCAATGGTTCTCAACTTTTCCAGATTACTGTACCCCTGTCAGGAGTCTGAGTTGTCTTGTGTACCCCCTGTTTCACCCCACTTAAAAAAACTACTCGCTTACAAAACCAGACATAAAAGTGCAAAAGTGTCACAGCACATTATTACTGAAAAATTGCTTGCTTTCTCATTTTTATCATATAGTTATAAAATAAATCAATTGAAATATAAATCTTGTACTTTTCAGTGTATAGTATATACAGCAATATAAGCAAGTCATTGTCTGTTTGAAATTTTAATTTGTACTGAGTTTTCTAGTGCTTTTTTATGTGTCCTGTTGTAAAACTAGGTGAATATCTAGATACACTGATGTACGTACCCCCTAGCAGACCTCTGTGTGCCCCTGGTTGAGAACCACTGGGTTAAATAGATGGAGCTCCTTGAATCTATCACATATGCATGTCTTCTAATCCTTTAATCATTCTGGTGGCTATTCTCTGAACCCTCTCCAGTTTATCAACATCTTTCTTGAATTGTGAGCATCAGAACTGGACACAGTAGTCTAGCTGTGGCTGCACCTGTTCCCAGTACAGAGGTAAAATAATCTCTTCTCCTATTCTAGATTCCTCTGTTTATGCGTCCCATGATCGCATTAGCTCTTTGGCCATAGAGTCGCATTAAGAGCTCATGTTCAGCTCATCCACCATGACCCCCAAATCTTTTTCAGTGTCACTGCTTTCCAGGATAGAGTCCCCCATTCTCTAAGTATGGTCTACATTCTTTGCTCCCAGATGTATATATTTACATTAAACCATTAAAATGCATATTTCCCTGCACCCAGCTTACCACTCGTTGCACCCAGTTTATCAAGGGATCTAGATCACTCTGAATCAGTGACCTGTCCATTTACCCTTCCCCAAATTTTTGGGATCTGCAAACTTTATCAGGGATGATTTTATATTGTCTTTCAGGTCATTGAAAAAAGAGGTTACGTAGCATAGGGTCAAGAACCGATCCCTGTGGGACTTCACTGGAAACAGACCCACTCAATGATGATTCCTCATTTACAAGTTATATTTTGAGACCTATCAGTTAACCAGTTTTTAGTACGTTTAATGAGTGTCATGTTAATTTTATACTGTTCTAATTTTTTAATCAAAATATGCAGTGTGAAGTCAAACACCTTACAGAATTCTATTGCATCAACACTATTACTTTTATCAATCAAACTTGTAATTTCATTAAAAAAAGATATCAAGTTAGTTTGACAGGATCTGTTTTACATAAATCCATTGTTGATTTGCATTAATTTCATTACCCTCCTTTAATTATTTATTAATCAAGTCCTTCATCTGCCATTCCATTGCCTGGTATTAGTGTCAGGCTGCCAGGCTTTTAATTCCCGGGTCATCCCTTTTACCATTTTTAAAAATTGGCACGACCTTAGCTTTCTTTCAGTATTCTGGAACTTCCCTAGTGCTCCAAGACTTATTGAAAAACAACATTAATGGTCCAGCAAGCTCCTCAGCCAAGTCTTGTAAAATTCTTGGAGGCAAGTTATCTCGATGTGCTGATTTAATGATGTCTAACCTTAGTAACTGCTGGTTAACATTCTCTAGAGCAGTGGTCACCAACCTGTAGATCCTGGGGACTCTCCCGGTCAATCGCGATCTCCGGCTGCGGCAGTGTAGCGGGCTGCCACTAAGGCAGGCTCCCTGCCTGCCATGGCCCCAGGCCACTCACAGAAGCGGAGGGCATGTCCCCGCAGCCCTGGGGTCTCCATGTGCTGCTAATGCCTGCAGGCGCTGCCCCCGTAGCTCCCATTGGCCGGGAATGGGGGACTCTGACCAAATGGGAGCTTTGGGGGCGGTGCCTGCAGAGAGGGGCAGCGCGCAGAGCCACGTGTCCTCCCCCACAGGGGTGTGTTGGCCCCTTCCACGAGTGGCGTGGGGCTGTGGCAGGCAGGGTGTCTGCCTTAGACTCGCTGCACCACTGACAGGGAGCTGCCTGAGGTAAGTGCCGCCCGCTGGGAGGCCACACTCCAACACTGAGCCCCCTCCCAGAGCCAGCACCCCATACCCCCTCCTGTACCCCAAACTCTCTCCTGCACCCCAAGCCCCTGCCCCAGCCCTGACCCCCCTCCCAGAGCCAGCACGCCCTCCTGTACCCCAACACTCTCCCCAGCCTAGAGCCCTCTTCTGCCCCCAAACACCCTCCCAGAGCTTGCACCTCTCACCTCCTCCTGCACACCATCCCCCTGCCCCAGGCTTAGCCAAGAGCCCCCTTCCACACTGCGAATCCCTCAGCCCCAGCCCAGAGCCTGCACCCGCTCCCGAGCCCCAGCCTGGTGAAAGTGAGTGAGGGTGGGGGACAGTGAACAAGGGGGAGGGGGGGGTGGAAGGGGGGCTTTGGGGAAGGTGGGGCCTCGGGGAACAGGTGTGGTAGATCCGGGGTTGCGCTTAAATTCAAAAAGTGACGTGGGGCATAAAAAGGTTGGAGACTACTGCTCTAGAGTTATGGAATATGAAGAGTGTTATCACCATATGATGAGACTGCATCATTTCTTTTTTTAATACAGAACAGAAATATTTAGTTAACACTTTTGCCTTTTCTGCATTATTATTGATATTTCTATCACTTCTGTCTAGTAATGGACCGATGCCATTGATGAGATTCTTTGTTTCTAATATATTTTAAAAACTTCTCCTTATTGTCCTTAACTCTGCTGGCAATAGATTTCTACTTGTGTCCCTTGACTTCCCTTATCAAATTTCTACATTTCTTAACTTCTTGTTTATATTTATTACTATCAACTTCCCATTTCTTACATTTGTTATATATTTTTAAATTTTTTACAGCTGCGTTCACTTCCCTTTTAAACCAGGTTGGTTTTTTAACCAGCACAGCCTTCTTCCTCAGTTATAGGATTGTGGCTTTCTGGACATCTAGCAAATTCTTAAATGATTCCCAATTATCATTCACATTTTTCTGTTTAAATTCTTCCTCTCAGGTGAACTGGCTCATAATTGTTTTCAGCTTTTTGAAATTGGCCGTATTAAAGCACCAAGTGTGTGTGTATGATCAGGTCATGATCACTTGTACCTAAGCTACCACTATCTTTTAGTTTTGTGGTCAGTGCCTCATTATCTGTTAGGAGAAGGTCTAATATAGAATTACCCCATGTTGGTTGCAACACTTGTTAAGTTAGGAAATTGTCATCTATAATATTTAGAAATTCCAAGGATGTTTTTATACTGGAAGCATGAAAGCTCCAGCATATGTCATTCAAATTTGAATCCCTGATGATCACAGTTTTTTTTCTCCCTGCACACTGTAGATAGGCACATAAGGAGCCAGTTATCCTGTTTCCTAGTGTGATTTGGTGGTCTGTAGCAGACACAACTAGTACCCCATCTTGTGCTTTATCTGTTAGGACATTGATCCATAAGCAATTACGATCATTTTCTTCC